TAATAAGTTAATATAAAAAAATATTTTTTTTAAAATTAAAGAAGTTTTTATTAAGTTAGGGTCTGTTGGGCTTCTAAATAAAGTTGTAAAGAAGATTTTTCTGGTTCTAATGGTGGTTAGATCATCAAAATTAGTCTTGTGGATCCCAAGATATTTGGGGGGAGTACCTTAGCCATAGCGAACAAAATTTGGCAGATCATGTGATGATCATCGTACCTTGTCCAATCAGAGGGGCTCACTTAAATGAAAATCCTTCACATGCTAGTAGACCAATAAAATCGTGAATTTTTAACCTTTTTTTTAATGAAGTATACAGTATAAGGTAAATGTGGGTATTTTGACGAATTAAACATCTTACAATAAAACATTTTTTTTTTACTAGGTAAACTGATTCTTATTTATTAAGTAAAGTTGTTCGAAATGCCATCTTTTACTTTCAAATTTTGGTGCAATATGAATAACCTTTTACTAATAGTTTTTTTTGTTATACATTTCAGCGCAGTAAATTAATTTTCAGCGCATAAATGTGTAACGAAAAAATCTATTAGTAAAAGGTTATTATTCATATTGCTGTTTACTTAGTAAAAAAAAAAAACATAAGATGTTCAATTCGTCAAAATATCTACTTACCTTATAAAGTATTAATTTTAATGGTCACGTTCGTCAAAATACCCACAGGGAAGTTAGAAATTGTTGTCACAAAGAGATCATATAATTTACATAAAACTTGAGTTTTATTTCTAAATTTTAGAGCAAATTCAAATTTACATAATTCAAAAACAAAAAAACAAAACTTTAAGTTTTTGACAGACTTTTATTAGTAAAAAGTGTTAACTTCGTCAAAATACCCACATTTACCTTATAACAAGAATTTTTTTAATAAATTAAAATAGTTTATTTAATAAAAAATTAGTTCGGTCATAATAAGTTGGCAATTTATGTAATATTTGTGCTTTGACCTTAAAGCAATTATACATATCACATCTAACTTTAAAATTCACAAGAACATCTACTTAGAATTAGGTTATAAAATTATCAAATTGCAAATCGCCACCTTTAAAAAGTAAAACGTGTATAAAATATGTCTTGTAATTTATGAAAGATAAACCTAATATAGCTAAATCTAGAAAAACTACAGAAATGATAATGAGGTTTCAGAATGAATATATTCATCTGAAAAGTGCATTTGGCTAAATTAGAAAAGGTAGCAGAAATGATAATGTTTCAAAATGGCGCATTCGCATAGAAAGTTTGTGTATTAATATATAGAAAAGATATACAGTCGGACCTCCCTAAATGCAACATCCCTAAATGCATATATATAAAAAACCTCTCTAAATGCATGTCTTTTCTTGAGTCCAACTAATATAACACTTATAGATTTTTACCTTCCTAAATGCATAACCTCTTTAGATGCATATTTTCTCAAATTTTACTATGGTTCCGATGTCATGCATTTAGAGAGGTCTGACTGTATATGGCTAAATCCAGAAAGTTATAGTAATATTTTAGAATAGCAATTGTAAGCATAGTTAGTTGGAGATAGCGTGTAATTTTTGTGCTATAGAACAATAAAAACAGAAAATGAAAGTGAAACTTATTTAAATTATACAAGAAGATATATTAAAAAGATTAGATTAGTTCTTCAACACGTAATAGCATAAATCTTATAAAAAGGAGAATTACTTTAATCTTAGCTGTGCCAAGAAACAAGTAGCAAAAATTTCAAATTTCCTTATAATCCATCTTCAAATGTTTAAATAAGCTATCTACTCAAAAAGTCGTTATTAATAAAAGTTGCATTTTTTTTAAAAAAATAATAATAATAAATCTACTCACTAGCTCATTTCGCGCATTGCATTCTCAAATTATTTATCATTATACATGCTTTATATAACCTTCGCCTTACTGTAAAAGAAATACCTTCGAATTTCTAATAAATTGATTAAAATATTTGTTAGTGCATTACCAGAGTCCAACCCCACGATCTATATTGTATCCACGATAATATCCTAAAAGACTGTAATAGATATTCGTCCACAAGCTGTAAAATAAGCGATAATAATGTTGAACAAAGAAAGTATTAAAAATAAAATTAATAATAGGCATTAATTAACAAACAACTAATTATTATGATGATTATTTTAATATGTAGATATTCTTTCTCAAGACCTTTCTAAAAAGATGTGTAGTCGCTGCTATGTTAAAAAGAAGGTGGCTGATTTTTGTCGTTCTTCTAGTAGTGGTACACAAGATGGAATGAGAATGCTACATGCAATCTATGTTCTGAAAAAAAAAAAAATAACCGAAAAGAAAATAACAGTCAAATTGAAAAAAAAAGTAAAACTCAAAACAACATCACCGCAAATGATTTGGATATGCCAATGCAAAACAGTAACCCGGAAATTTCAGAACTATTTTCTGAAAATTTAAGTTTTCTTGAAGAATCCCAGGACACAATACTACAAGATATAGTGAATGATAATGATCAGGACAATGATATTTCAAAGGTGCTTTTATATACCTTGGGCGAAGTACATCTAAGAGTTTTGAATTAGAACCATTAAATGAACCCGTCAAATTCACTTACGAGATTGAGTTAGATCAAGATCTTCTTACCATTGTTTCTTTTGACCAACTTAATATTATTGATAAGCATGATTTGAAAATAATTGAAAATAAATTTCGCCAGCTTGCTAATACAATTATCGTACCTCTTGAATCAGGTTCTTGTTATTACTGGGAAATACATAAGATATATTTAAACAGTAAGAATAAGATGTTTTCAGGTTCTGCTACAATTTATTTTGGCTGTACAATGCATGAAGACCGAGCATGAAAAAGACCTGATAATCAACCGCCCAAGAGAATAAGTGAGGCCCGCACACCTATCAATAGATATAATTGTGAAGAAAATATTAGACTTACGATATTTCCAGAGAAGCAATACGTTTTGGTTCAGAGACATCACCTTCTTATGCATAAAAAACCAACATATAGGCAAGTAGAGTTTCCTATAAAAGCAAGAGAATGGATTCAAGACAATTCCTTGTTTAATATAAAAAGTGCGGAAATGTATCACCGGCTCTGCATAGGTAAGTAGTGTTACAAATCGGCAAAATTTTTTCAATCGATTAGTTGGTTAATTATTTTTCCAGTTGGTTGCAACTAATCGATTAATCGATTAATCAATTAGTTGCAACTAATTCATTAAGTAAATAAATAATTTTTCAGTTAATTCTTTAGTCGATTAGTTGGTGTCTAAAAAGTTTAATCGATTAGTTGTCAACTAACCAACTAAACGATTTTTTCAACTTTCGATTTGTAACACTACCTAGCGCTAGTACTCTGCAAAATTAAATCAAATTTTGAATTTGGATCAAATAATTTCAAATATTTGATTCAAATTCAAATTTTGATTTGATTGTGCGGAGTACTATAACGGTCATCTTTATCATTTAGGAAAAACCAGACCATTTTTATGAAACAGGATTCTTTTATGAATGTGCTCCCAATAATTTCGGACGATATTCATAATATATAGAATATAGTAAATTTAATTACTAATAGTGTTAAGTACAGTATTTAATGTAACAAAAATTAAGTACAATATTTAATGTAACAAAATATCTATCGCTACGTATAAATTATATGGTTGTAAAGTTATAAATAAATTAATCGTTATAAAGGCATAAAAATTCTGTTGTATCAGATTTATATTAGGCCATACAAATTTAATTAATTGTTTCTCATAACCCGGCCGGGTCAAATTTTGGAAACTTTTGAGAAAAAATTTTTTATGGGTTTTCAAAAAAATTTTTTAAAAAATTTTATTATAAAATTTAAAAAAAAAAAGCCGGCCGGGTCATTTTTAAAGTTTTATGAGAAACAAAAAATGAATTTTGTATGGTCTTAGAGTGATAATTTTTTAAAATTTTTAAAAAGGTGTCGTCTTGGTACCGTCCCTACCCCGGTCTGTCAATGGATATTGTCCATTGGCCGACCCGGAATTTTGGGGATCTGCATCAAAAGTTTCACCCTATAAAATGAACATCAAAGAATACGCGTTATACGTAATGGAAACTAAGAATTTTCCGCTTCTTGTTCCTTCCGATGTGGATGAATTATCTTATTGTGGCTTTATTACCGTTAAGGTTACATTTCTGTTTTATGTCTAAATCATTCAGAGAATGCGCTGACGAAATTGTTTGTTTTTATAGGGACAGGAACTAGCATTTCAAATCAAACTCGAAAATAATAGTGCTTGTCTAAAAAACGCGAAACTTTACGGTAGTCCTGAGTTAAAGAGGCTTATATTTGGTCATGAAAAGGCTTTGCAGCAAGTATGTTTCCTTTCTATAATCTAAATTTGCTCGTTAAATTTAAACAAATTATTGCTGTTAGTGAATCTTTAAAATTCACTGGCTTAATTAACAGCGTCTCGAGCAATGTGCAAACTTTTCAGAATTTTTCGTCGATCTCAAAGATTTACTTGCTGAGTACTTTGGCTTTTCGTTAATCCTCTTATTACTAAAAGTTTCACGCTGCTAAATCCTGTCCAATAAAAAAAAAAACAGGAACTTTTAATGACCAAAGAGAAGACCGATCCCTCACCGGGTGAAAATTATTATTCTACTCTGATAAATGAGCTTAATTCGATAGGATGGGACAAATTAGAAGCATTTAATCCATCTCTGAGAAATTTATCATTGAAATTGAAGTGCGTTAACTTGATACGCAAATTTTTCGCAAATTTACCAAAGGTTAACGAAAATAATTATTTTTGTGTCAGTGATTCATCCGGTCGTCAACATAGTATCTTTGTGTCTTTACCATTTTCATATCCTAAAGCCACTCTCATTGTACATGCTGAGCTTCCAACTCCTTTACCAGTGACATTAAATCATATGACAAGTCTTAAGGATGTTGTGTCTTTCTGCTCTAAAGTGAGTCTTACTATACTCGTGATTTAAGCCGTCATGCCTAAAGCTTATCTTTTTTTCAGGAATTAGAAAAGTTTCAAGATGTTTGGTCAATGCTCGATGATATCGACAAACATACTTGGATTTTGGAACCTTGCAAACCTAAACGGAGTGATTTGATGCGCAGAATCGCTTTGGGCAATCATTGTTCTTTACAAATAGAATTGGACGTGTCTTGTCCCAAAGGAGAATGTCAATATCGGTTATTTGGTACGGAAAGTTTGATCTCCCCATTACGCGATAAGATAATAAAAAATTGGAATAATTGGTTGTACATCTGATACTTACTATGATAAATTAATTTAACTTTTATTCTAATAATTGCTTCTTCATTAAGAATAGGAGTTCTGACTTAACTATTCGGCAAAACTTTGAAAACATTCTAGAAATAACTTTTCCTTCAGCGCAAACTATTTCGACTTTGGACATCAATATAGAATGTGGAATTTGCTATTCTTATCGTCATGAAGGTTCTTTACCTGATCAATCATGTAACAATGCAAAGTGCGGTCAACCTTTTCACCGTTCTTGTTTGTATGAAGTAAGTATTCTGGTAATTACTGGATATAAAGGGCTCTAGTATATATGATCTTTGTCTTATAGCAGTTTTTTATAGTGGCTCCGGTCTATTCCATCAACAAAGCAAAGTTTCAATACATTCTTCGGGAATTGTCCTTATTGCAACGATGTAAGTGATATGTTTTTTTTGTTGAATATCTGGATGATGCATTGCTTTAAAGCTATGTTATTCTTATTTGTGTAGGCCATTACCACTACCATCTGTGATCAGTGAATCACAACTTACTTAAAGTGCATAATTACGATTTTATCATATGTCGTGAGTGTCTTTTCCATGATTTGTGTTGCCACCTTAAGCCAATTCCGAGTACGTACGTACGTTCAAATATGCTAGATAAAGTAAATAAAAAGTAATTCTACATTGACAGTATCACCACTAAAAAATTGTCACGTGAAAACTTTGTGGCGTAGCATCTAATCGCAAATTTGCACGCTAAAATTTTTAAAAATAAGATTATAACTAAACTTCACACAATAGAAAAATCAAATGAGCTAAAAAAAAAAGCATGACCCGTGGTGTTATCACCTAGTATTATAAAATTTTTATTGAAAATTAGATTAGGGGTTATGATTATAGCATTGTTAAGCTGTTGCGTTAAAACCAGGTATGTAAACGTTTTTTGTAATATATATAAGCTAGTTCTTTTAGTATCACAATGCTTTAATTAGATAATCTCGATCTGAAAAAAAAAATCTAATTAGTTTGTAAATAAGATATAGTAATTTAGAAAATATATAAATCACTGAGTACAATAACAGAAAATTGCACATGCAGGCGGCTTCGCTGTCCAGTTCCAACTACAGTAATAACAAGTGTAATACGTACCAATTATTGATAATATACCGATATATAACTTAATTAAATTGAGATTATGAATTTACTCTTTTTTATTGAAATAAAACCTAACACATATTAGTTTTGAATAGAATTATAAACGTGTATACTGTAAGTGAAAATTTATTAGTCTTAGATTTTTTTAACAAATTATTTTTTATATTCTTGTCTGCTTCACATGTCTTCTTTAAACTTAGCACCAGTGATTATTTTTCGCTGTGCGGACTGTGCGCAGCACAGAAACAAAATTTTGCGCACATTTTCTTTTGAACAGATGTGCGGATGCCGCACAGAAAAAATCAATATTTTGTAAGTAGTGTGCACACTTGTAAACAGTTGCTCATAGTTTTTCTTGATTTGCCGCACAGAAAATTGTGTGGTATCCACTCAGCTTTATATTTTTTTTTTCTTCGCGTCATGTTATTAACAAGCTTTTTTTTTTTTTTTAATATTGCTCCGGCCTCATTTCTTTTGGACTCTTTAGACAGCTTCACATTTTATTTATAATATTACTACCGCGATTGGCTAATGAAATCCATTCAAACATGAAAGTATTTTTAAAATTTAAAATGACTTTTCATGTAGCATCTTATTCGTATAATCGAAAATTTTTGATGGGAATATTGTGATCATTAAAATTAAGTGATACAATAGAATTATATAATAATAACCACCCCGAATAATAAAAATATATTGCGCAGCGTCACTATATCAAACTATTAATAAGTATACAATTAACCAATCAAAT